AGAACAGCACAGCCTTTTTTTTTTTTTTAATCGTTTGACTTCTTTCTTAAGAAAATTTCAAACCACAATTTCCTACTTATTCTGACCCTCTGTTTTTTTATTTCAAGTGACTAATTACAGATCATGAAGGACTGAATAGTAAAGAGCTGATGTACAGTGTTTGAAAGGAGTTTACAGATATAGAATGTTTTATTCAAATTCTTAAGTGACAAAATAATAATGTTTTGAGTGGAATTTTAAGAAAAAAGAAAACTAGCAACTAAAGAATTTGTACCATTGCTGTTCTTCACTGCTTCTCTGAAGAGTAATTCAGAAAATTCATTTGTGTGAATGCTTGCAAATGCAATTAAGCATATGAAAATGGATACACGTTTTGAATCCAAGATGCCTTTTGTGGCTGTTGTAACTTACACTGTTTCTTAGTTTCCTCCTACAAATACATCTGCAAAGACCTGTATCTTGGGTAGGTCTAGTGGTTTTTAAAATCAGGAGTAGATCAAAACTAGTACAAATTTAATCGAACACTTTCTCTGTCCTTATTAATCACTATTTTTTTCTTTTTACCCCTCTTTTACAAAAGAACTTTGAACTTACAATGGAAAAGATTTAATTTTTGTTGTTTTTTGTTTTGTTGGGTTTTTTTTCAGCTGGAACTGGATATTTTATTTCATATTTTACAAACTTTCATCCAGACCAGTAATGTTTTTATTGTCATAGTATATATAGGATTGTCCATTAAATTATGCTGAAGATCCGAGTCAAGTTTTTTATTATCTTCGGGTTTTGCATTCCTGTCCTGCTTTGCTGTCAGGTCTGGATGTATTATTGTCCCTGCTAATCTAATATTCTAGAATGTCATTTTTTGCTTAGTGCATAGTAATTAATAATTCAACAATTCACTATTGCAAAGTCCAAATGTACGTTGGACTTTTGTTCCTGGCAGGTTCTGCCCAAACAATCACATCAGCAATACAGACTTATTCACTGTTCTGCCAGATTCCCATCAGTGGAGTATTTTGGGAACTAAATTTATCTCAGAGGAAGTCTCTGGAAACGAAACACCCCCAAAAGCCATCTTATGATAAAAATTTTAGTTCTTTGTCTATGAAGTTGTAGCTGCCAGGCATCATGTGATGCTCCTGTTTTGAAAACAGCTCTGTCATGTGATTATTTACTCCCCTCTTGGTAGTAGATGACCCAGTTGTCTCTGGACTGGCAGGATCTCTGTGTGCCCTCAGGATAAGGAACACACATGGACACCCATGTGCATGCTTGCAGCACGTGCTTCTCTTGGGTGAGGGCGATTTAAGATAGACAAAATGAACTCTCTGTACTTTGTCTTCAGGGTAGCAGCATTCACCCGAGGTATGGAGAACTAGAAAAACTTGTTGAACAAGGGAATGCCACAATGATTAGTATTCATTTGGGCAGCAACTGGTGGAATGCATGAGAGCAAAACTTCCATTTTTGCATTTTAACAACTGTGAAAATGTCAGCATATAGCTGCTTTTAACTACATCGTAAGCCAAACTAACTCTTCATGGTCTACAAGCACAGCCCTAGGGCCCAAAAATCTCTGAAAAAACATACAGCCAATCATTCACATTAGAAGACTTCGATAGAAAATTAAGTGACGAAAAGATTAAAAAAATATCTTTTTTAGGATTCGCATTCACTGTATTATCTGAGTACTACTGAAAAACTACACATTCTGTTGCTTTTCTGAAACTGTCTGCTAACTACTCACTGCCATTTCAGTCATTGCCTCATAGCTTACAATATGCTTTTTCTGTCTCTTCATTAGCTAGACAGATCTTGTGTTTTTTTGTTTTTTGGGGTTTTTTTTAAGAGTTGCTGCTGTACCGATCCAAAGCTTCCAAGCACCCTTCCTGCGGGTACCCTGGGAACGTTTGATCTCATATCAAAGGGACTTTCATAATTCCCTGACTTCAGAACTGAGCTTTTAATCTCACTGCTGTGACGTGCTTCAAAGGCTCCTGTGAGCTGCTGCATTGGGAAATAGGGCACGTAGCACTCCAATATTTCTATTTTAATACAGGTTAGCAAATATAGAAAGCATCAAAATTGTCCGAGTTGTGTCTTTTACCAAATTCAATAATGATATATTCCAACTGTTTGAACCCTTGTCACAGCTCAGACACTTTTAATTCACAACATTTTGTTTGTTACAGTGGCTTTAAAATGCAGTAATATCAGCTTGACAGCTTGACTGCTTGCCAGCTACCAACCTGGAGGGCTTCTGTTATTTTTTAGGGCTGAATCTTCTATTACTTTCTCTCCTCCTTGTACTTTTTGGTCTGTTGGATTACCACAATAGTTTCTTACATACTCTTGACAAAGTACAAAGAGTAGTCAGCAGCCTTCCTCAGCTGTAAGAAGTGCTAGACATTGAGCTAGACAGCTTCCCAGACTCTTTCATGTCAGTGTTTGCTAAGCAGCAAATGGCACCTCAGTGTCCATTTCTAGATCAGAAATTCAGAATTTCTAGATCAATTCTGTTTGGCAGAAGTCTGCCTTCCATTGCCACATTACAGTCCTGCCAAGCTGCCTGCTAGAAGACTCTTCTCCCTTCTGTACTATTAACTACAAGTTAGGATTGTTTGTTTTTCCTTAATTATTAATATTTCAGTCTTTTACAAGCTGGACTATTTTGATAAAAGGCATTTTTCTCCCCAATTTAGGAATTTTTATTTCTTTTTCAGATAAAGGGGAACTATGTAAAGGCCTGGATCGTATTTTCTATAGAGCTGTTCTTACAATTGAGCTTTGTAGTAGAATGAATAGAACATCGATTCCTCTGATCAGCTGTGTTGTAAGCTTTACTTCATAGATTTCTACTCATTCGAACTAGAAGGAATGCTGAACAGTGTTGCAAGTGCAGGATTTAGAGGTTATGCCAAGGAAACCATACGTTGCTCACAGCTGTTAAACACTGGCAGGGCTCTGTAACAGGCAAAACAAAGGGAGCCTTGGGGTAATAGGGCTATTAGCAGGTACATTAGGTACAACACTGAATTAAAAAAACCTAGAGATAGTCATTATGCAGAAATGGCAGGTGCAAAATCTGCAGGACCACTCTATCCTTGAAGACATTGGAAAGGATGGCTAAGATTTGCCTCCAGAAAACACCTAAATGGAGCTGCCTATATGTGAAAAAGATGACTAAGATTCTATTACCGTCAGTGGAGTTTAATGTAAGAGTGGAGTGGGCTGAATAGCTATTGAGACTCCACAGCATGCACTGAATACAGCTCCACCACCCGCAATAGGAACTTCAACACTCAGTATGCAGGCACACACAGAGAAGTATCCAAGTTTAGGTGTCTTAAGATAAATCTGGTACCGTATCTGCCCACAACAGACAGTGACTAAGTACACGTAGGAAAACGCTGAGTTTTGCAGGGACATTTGAACTAATTCCAGAGGAGCAGAGTGGTAGAGCTGTACTAATGTAGCATGCTGTGCAGATTAATACACCTTGCTGCTTAGCAGGAGTAATAAATCCCTGTCAAGCACTGCTGTGGTATAGCTAGGTCTTCTGTACAGCTGCCAGTTTTTGTCAAGAGATGACTAAAGATTTACTTTTTCCCCTTCTAGGAGAGGCTGCTATTAGGGAAGCACCATTTACTCCTCTCCCAGCTGCCTAAAACTGTGAATGCTGACTGATTACCATTAGCCATTTTAATTAACTTGCTTATAATCTGTAAAATCCTGGAAAACAGTATTCTTACATTAGCCCGGCTGTTGAGCCACCCCAGTGGGTAAGGAAGTACTAGGGATGGGCAACAGGGAAGACCTACAGAATTAATGATTATAGGCTTGCAACAATTCTGACAAAGACAAAAGTCATAGGGAGCTGATTCATTTCATTAAGATACAGAGCTTTTGAATGAAACTGGGCTTAATGGACGGTTGTGTGTCAGCTCATGGGCTGCTTTCCTGTTAACATCAATGATGTCCTTGTTTCCATCAGGCATTTTTCCTGTCTTTCAGCATCATGTGACATGACAGACAGACCTACCTGGATTAATTCTGCAATTAAGATATGAGGCAATACATCAAATGCTACTGTCAAGTACAGATATAGGATATTAAAACTGAACAGCTTGCTTGTGATGCTATAAAAATAGTTTGGCATTGGCAAGTTTTATTAAATAGGATTTCCTAGCTAGGAAATCTAATAGAAAGTCTATAGATCAAGGATATTTTTTCTGTTCAAAGATCCACCATGATGATAGCAAAGAGCCTGCTGCATAAAACATCCCCTGCAATCTGTAAGATTGATTACTTATTTATTCAGACTAGGAACCATAGGAACAGATATACACTTGGTTGGTTTTTTCACCCTTCCCCCCCAACACAGAATGAGATGAAAGAATATAGGGGGAACCATCCCAAAATAATCAGAAGTCTAGCACCACCCTGCACATTTGTACTGTGTGGTCCTGATTTTTTGAGGGGAGTAGCTTTTTAGTCTACTCTTTTTATTTGTTAACATCCAAAAAAAAATCTCATTTCCTGTTAATTGCCACAAGCAAAATAAAGTACCTGGCTATCACCGTATACTGAACAGTGCCTGTATTTTCTTAGGTTGTTTTATGTAATCCTGGAAAGCTTCATGACTGATTAGGTGAGTCACTTGCAATAAGTTCAGTTTCAGAAGACTTGCACACTGATCAATACAAGACAATTTGGTTGGGTGGTTTTGGTTTGTTTTTTTTTTTTACCCTCAGGCCTTGCAGCAGAGATGAGAACAGACCATTTATCCATCTCAGATTACTTTTCACCACACAATGCTCCTGCCAACTTATGCTCCATTTGTGATCCAATTATGAAAGTCAGGTTCTCCGTTCCCACTACCCAGCAATTTATTATTAAAATATATATGAGCAGCAAATAAAACAGAAGGCATAACCAGCACAGTAAGCCAAGAGCACAGTCTTATCTCTTGCACAGCAAATATGACCCTGGACTTACCACCACATCAGTGGGGTGGGCAATTTGTTACTACTGAAACCTGTCAAGTGGGCTTTTGAGTTCAGTTCTTCTACTCAAGTTTCCATTGAAACATACTCTATGTGCAATTGACATGGGTTGTGCTTCAGCATTCACATGGACAGGATGCCAAACAGCAGGACCAACATTCAAATTGGTTTGCCCATTTAAAGGACTAATTACAAGATTTGGTTTATTTTTGTTTTCCCCTCCCCTAAGAACCTACTTCCCATGGTCAGAGCAACTCAGGAACTAGTTCCAAGTTTTGGCTTTTACAAGACAGCAGTTTAAAAAAGTTATTAATAATGTTTAATATCTAGCTGGTTGTGATAGGAGAAAAAAGTGAACCTATGTGTTTCCTCCACTGCACAGGTATTTGATGATAGAACATTTCTGTTTAGCTTTAAACTACAGGCTAATTAACACTATATTTTAAAGGAGTAAACTACAAGAAATAACTCCCTAATCAAGATTTGGTCAATCAGGTTAACACTAAACCAAAAAATATTCTACTAATGAGTTTGCATAGGTTGTATTTGACAACATGCTCCTGACAAAGGGAAATATCTACTTGTTTGCACAGCAATTAAATATGCCGTAGCTGTTGAATAAATAATTTAATCCAGAACACATTAGCAAGCCTTTTTCCTGCGCAAATACTTCAGTGCAAGGAAAGACATTAATACCTCCTGCAGTCACTGTTGACTAAAAAGCAAAACAAGGGGGTAAAGATCCTGAAACTAAAGGCACTTGACAAAGGAGGGCTTTCAAATAGAGAAAAAGTACAAAACAGTTAATCTTGCATAAGAAACCATGAATGCATTCATTCTAATGCCCACTTCATTTTAAGCACATTTGTTTTAACACAGGACCAAATACACAACAATGAAGTATTTCCTTAACTTCTATATGTAAGCCTCTGAACAGAACAAAGCATCAGCCAAAACAGCGCTTGGGGAACGCTACCACACTTGAAGCGCCTCTCAGCAGAATATAGATGATTACCTCTGGAGACAGACACTTTGGACTTTCTCACTTTGTTAAGTTAAACCTAACTTCTTCATTGTACATATAGCAAGATAACGTCATCAAGCTGCAGTATGCCATTTGGCAGGCTGGAAGAAAGCTACTCTCCCCTACCCATAGGGTCTGCTTCATTCTAAGCTTCATGAAATTAAAGACACAGCATTTTGGCCAGATCTTCCAACTACACAGATTTTGTTCCTATTTATACATGACTGAACAACCATCGGGAGCTACACAAGTTTCTTATATAGGCTCAAACATATCAACTAAAAGATGCCAACTCCCTCAGCATCCCAAAAGGCCTTGTGCCAGCACTGTCCTTGGACTGCTGTGCAGCAGCATTGATGCTCACAACGGTCACTGGTGCAATCAGATGGCATGTATTTATTACAGTCATGAAACCAGACAGACTGTCTGCATCAGGGAGCTTTGGACACCACAGACGGTTAGAACTGGAAACCTGAATTATCCATTTATGCCAGGTAATCTCATTACAAATATGCCTCCCCACTGAGGAAGAACAGAGCAGCCTAGCCATCCTGCAGAGCACTTATCAGAAACAGTTACCAGGCATCCTCTCACTCCAGAATTAAGTACAGGGACCTGAGTTTAAGAGTCTAATTACAAACAACATTTCGTGATGAGACTATGCTCCTTGCTGTGTGTTTTACAAGTCTGCTATATGCAAAACTCTGCCCTCCAATGAAGAAATGAGTGGAAAGGGAAAATAATTTAGTAAGTTCTGTACTCACTGAGTCATGCACATAGAAGGCAGGTGGAAAATACGTAAGTTATCACAACAGTAGTTGTAAAATACTGTCAAAAGCAAATATAATGCACATACCATTTTGAACATGAGTTAACAGCCGTAAGTTGTAAACACAGACTAAGAGATCTCCCACTCCTCTCTTACCTAGTATTACTGTTGAACAGTTCTGTTGACACATTCATCTAGAACAGTTTTAAAGATTTAAGATTTAAAGGTGAACTTGAAGGCTTGTGTTGACTGTCAAGATTCAGCCACCCTTCTGGGTTGAGCCATATATTTGCAGCTGTGAAATCCATATTTGGAAAAGCAATCACAGCATCCCCCTTACATATAAAGTAGCTGTACTTTCTGCAATGCAACAAGTTTGGTAGACAATGCAAACAGAACATGTCCTCTGCCTGCAGCAGAAGAGCTGTTTCTATTTAGTTTACCATCAATTCATTCCTACACCATTTTCATCTGCAAATAAGTATTTTAGATCGTTTATGAAACGTTGTATTGCTCTACATAGGGTAGAGTCCACAACTTAATGATCTCAAGTTATGCTGCTTTACCTGCAGCACTGCCCCTGAAGGTAATCACGAGATGATGGGAACTGAGACATGCAGTGACATTGACGGGAAGATTTGAGCTTTGCTGCCAGGGGGCGGCAGCACCACCACGCCTGATGCAGGGCTTCAAGCCTCACAGTGGCATTTAAGAGCTCTGAAGGCCAATTCTCAGTCTGTTTCCATTTGTACTTTGTTTGGCCATCTGGTCTATTTGTAACAGGGACTACGCAACAGAACACATTCTTGAAATACAAGTAATTCATAAGCTTCAGCCACAGCAGAACAGCTATCACATTCTATATCAATCCAATACACATGGATTTCTGCATAATTGATCATTTTATTGGAATCTGTTAGAAGATGTTTGTTCAGATCACCTGTTAAGCAGGCAGTTATGCTGCTTCTGTTCACTGCATACATACTGAGCAAGTCTCCAAGCAATACATAAATATTATTTTGTCTGACCCCATACACATGCATCTTTACTACAAAAAGCAGCTTTTCCTCAATAAAAGTTGTATCCATGGGACCAATGTTCATTCCTTCTAGCTATGACTTGTACCAAATCCGTATCAATAATCATAGGTTAAATACATCAATACATGTAATAGAGCTTTAACAGTAAAAAAAAGTAAGAAAGTTAAATACTGCAACAGCTTAGATACATACTGCATTTGAATGATAGAACATAAAGTCTGTTGACCTAGCTAATGACAGAGTCACCAAAACACAACATACAGAAGCAATGTCAACAGCCAGTACTTGTCTAAGCATTTTAGAGTTCCCCTTTTCCCTTCAAACAACGAAGGGTTGTGCACATCTTGAATGTGAACTTAGATATCGTTAACTGTACAGCAACATTGATCCTGATATTTAAGGTCGGGTAAAGAAACAGACATATTAAAGCTGCAGGCCACTAAGTACACACAGCATTTGGGAGTTTGAGGAGCCGATGTTTACTGTAGCACAAGTTCATTGTTCCAACTAAGTGTACCCTATGTAACAGTAGCATTAATTGGCAATATTTGTATTTAGTAGAAAATGCCACATTACTCAAGTAACCACAATAAGCTAGGTTTTTAAAGTGTTGATTTAATTAGCTATGATGAAGGCTAGGGAGGTATTTTAACAGAAACACCTTGGTAAAGTGAAGTAAACTGACCTATCATTGTTCTCTAGAACACAGGAATCAAGTTACATGTGTTCTCTCAGTCATCAAGGGCTGGTATTTCAGCCAGCATTCGCGTTTTTAACCTAAGGGCAGGTTAAAATAAATCTGTGTACAATGCAACATACTTAAAATAGATGCAATGACGACTGATAAATTAGTTGTCAGTCCCTACTTTTTACAGTTACAAGCCCAACAACTTTCGGCACACAAGTTATAGCCAATCTTTTAAGTTCAAATTCAACCATTACAAGCCAGAGACCCATTTCAGAGATTGCTCTGTAATAGCATTCTGGACTGTAAGAACATGCATACACCAGCTGTCCAGAAATACAGAGCTGCTAATAAAGAAGCTGCTAGAAAAAGCCATTAAACATACACATGCATGCCAGTTTCCCCAACTAAAACACTATTTACAAGCCATACTTCAATTTTTTGTAATTTGTAGTTTTTAACCCAACTTAAAAAAATATGAGTTCAAGTGCAAGACATCCAATATGTGACCATTTGAAATAGCTAAAGTGAAAATGAGTGCAAATTACAAAGCCACAAAGAGGTTAGCAATGATTTCCTGATCTTTTCAGGTAAAAATTTATTTACCAGATAAGTAACAACAGACAGAGGTGGAGTCCATGAAGGACATGACCTTTAGGAAAGCCAACACAGTCTTGACCAACACCACTGACTTTTTGGAAAGTCTAAAAGTTTCTTCATACTGCAAACTGAAGTCCTCCACAAAATTATCTAGTATCTTACTGGATGTTGCAAGGTATTATTGCCCTACAAGTTATGCAGAAACCCACAGCCAGGAAACTATTAATGCACAAGAAGTTTATAAGTTACCTTGCATAAGATATGATTAAGCTGTAACAGAATCTCAGGTATTGATTATGGCTTAGACCTGCATTGGAAGTGAACACTTAGACAAATATCCTTAAGTGAGTGACATTGTCTATGTGAAAGTGAGACAGCTTTGTTACACTGAAGACTTACTTGGTTAAAGTGACCTTCTGCTTAGAAGAAACAGTAGACAATATATTCACAAATAACCATATCTACTTTGCAAGAATTAGCCCTGTAAGAATTCAACAATACTCCTTTTTACTAATCTTTTCTTTAAGATAATGTATAGATATTTACAGATATTTATAAACAGGTTTTGTTTCTTAAACAGCCAGATCTTCGATAGTTAATTCTTTATCCTCCTTCCCTCCCTCATCCAAGTCTGCCAAATTCAAGACATTGTTCTAGCAGCATTCATGAAATCAATAGTGCAAAGTTATTACAAAAACCTCTTTTCCCAAGCTGTGACATCCTCTTCAAGTTTGTATTAGGTCAATAGCACTTCCCATGTATTTAGAGCTCTGGGGGAAGGCAGAAACAATAGATATGCTGAATCTAGCAAGCAACCAATTTGTTTGCTGAGGGTTTTTTGGGGGTTTATTGTTGGGTGGTTGTTTTTTTATTTGCTGCTCATACTGGCCATTGTTACAACTTTGGTAACTAGTTCACTACATTAAATTCACAGTTCCTCATTTTGACATGCACCTATAACATGTGAGTTGAACTGCACCACGATAATTGTAATGTCATCTCTATACATTCGAGCCAGCTCTTCTGGAAGACTAAGCATCTTGGACAGCCGCTCATGATCCACAGTGCCAAACTCATTGTTACCCACTGCATGACGTATCAGGTGAGTTGCTGCATTCTGATCTTCAAATACTGAAGAGATTCTTGCTCTCCTTTCTGTTAAGAGACCATGCATCTGTCCCAAAGTTACCTTATAGCCACCAACAGCTATTGGCTGTTGATGGTGAACACCAGTGAGGTACTCCCCTACAATTCTAGCCACATCTTGCCTGTGCATTGTCTCCCACAGCCCATCTGTGGCCAAAACCAGGAACTTATCTTGCGGCCGCAATTTGTGATGTATGACTTCTGGCTCAGCTGTGAGGTATGGGGGAGTGTGATAGTTTGGAGGAATAAACTTTGTATATTCATTGTCATTCAGCTGATCTGGGCCTGATTCTACTACTCTCTTTTGTAGTTCAATACTCCATTTAAACTTCACATCACCAAAAGCTCTGAAAGGCATCAGGAGACCTAAGAGACGATCTTGTTTCACGAGACTTTTCTCCTCAGACTTTGGATGCTCCATTTTCACACGTTCCACTTCATGTTCATTTTGTGCATTGTGGTCATAGGACAGATTAACTGCAGACCAAGATCCATCTTCTTCCTGAACCCCAAGCATTGCCCTACTGTCACCTGTGTTTGCAATGTGCAAGTCAACACCATCCACATGGGCCACACAGGCAGTTGCACCAGAAAATGCTACTCGCAGTACAAGGTAGTTGAGAAAAGAGTTTGGATCTCCTACTTGAGCTTCCAGAGAAATATCATTATCAAGCCTCTTAAAAGCATTAATTAAAGCTTCTTTCACATCAGTAGTCTCTCCACTGTTGAGATCAATGAGCTCCTGCCAGTAAGTTCTTAGACTACTGAAGTAAAGCTTGGAAGCTTCTTTGCTAAAATAATCATTGGGATGCTTGTGCCACTGTAGAATGGGCAACAGAGCTCTGCCACTTTCCACAGCATTTTCTATTTCAAGTAAAGTCTCATGAGGTAACAAAGAGACAGCAATGTAGTAAAACAGTCTTTCACTGACAGCTTGAGCACAAGCACAGCCTGCATGGCCATCAAACACACCCAAAAGCATTCCTCTTGTCTGTAAGCAAGTGGCAGCACTCCTCCGGTCTTCTATTGGAGCATTAGCAGGCAACTGGTTGCTATCGAAGCCAAGGACAGAACTTACATTTTTACCATCAAATTCTGGGACTTTGAAACTGTATTCATTTGCCTTCAGAATGCTGTTGACCTGTGGAGGAGTGAGGTAGAACCTCTGTGGTGTAGAAGCATAATCCCTTGTGTGAATAAAGTGATTAAAGTTCTCCTTTGGCCTATGAAGTGCCACAAGTTTCTTCTGAGATGCATATCTGAAGTGACTGTGAGCAAAATGAGATAAACAACACAGGTGTTTATGGTGGCAGTAACACACAGTACTGCATATTCTGCTAATCTCACAGTTACGAATCAACGGAAACAGATGAGCTGGTGCTGGCATGGCATCAGACAGCAATGGTAGCCTGGAGCTTCGGACTGGAATTGCTGAAAGACAAGAGAACAACTATGCTTAGGGGGACAGCTAACAGATTCTTCCCAGAACTCTGTGTCAAGACATGTACAGCCCCTAACAGCGTTGCTTATTATATGGAGTTCATAGCTTCACAGGTCTTGAGAAAGAAAAGGCATTAAGAGGTTCTTGTTTATAGACACTACATTGGGCTATAACAAAAAAGGTACACCATACTTAAGATATTTTAGCTCTTATACCCCCTCAGATAGCAGGCAGGAAGTGAAAACATCATCCAGACAGACAATGCAGCTTCAAACAGAACTTAAGATAACAGTTAGCACGAAGCACTCTACAGTAATGCCACCTTCTACAAGACTTTTACAGAAATTTGTTTTCCTGCTGATTTCCCAGCTGACAGAGCCAGATGGGGCACACAGGGAGGAAAACTCAGTCTTTCTATAAAGCTGAAGAGATAAAGCATCTAACAGTAAGATTCAAGAAACAACTTTGAGATGCCATACAACTGGGTTTAAGATGAAGATGGTTTAGACAATAAAAGTAAGCAGTAGGTCATAGACAGCAGATATTCTTTAGGCAATCACATGTCAGTAGCAGGTTTTGTTTCTTCTCCCCCCTTTCACATGCAAAGCTTCAAACTTGTGCGACACCATAGTGTACATATACAGAATAGCCACAGCAGCCTAAGCAGCAATTTTCTAGCTTATCATAAAAATACAAGAGGTAGAAAGCAGATGCATTTCTCCTACGAACAGCTCATCTACCCCAGTGAATTTTAAGTTTATAAATTGCTTTAAAAAGCTACTCAGTTGAAAGACTACATGCAAGCTGTGTTTGCTTCCATGACTAGCATAGAGCCCTGCACAACAGTCTAAAGCTAGTTCAGTGTTAAGATAAACTATTAAGTTTAGTATCCAAGAAAAGTATTCTACTATTTTTTGCCACATCTAAAAAAACTTTCCTTATAATTTTTCATTCCCCTGAAGAAAGATTACTCTTAAATACTCTTCCTTGTCCCCATTTACATACCCAATCACAACATTAGTGAGAGTGCCTTTTAAACACTTTATTCACTATGCCTCATTACCAGAAGTCTTTTACAATGTTGTACTTGAGAAAATAGTTCCATAGTGGGGAGAAAAAACAAACCCTTGAACTGTGGGGCCTTGTGTGAAGTACACACAGTTAAGGGAAATTCAATTTTCTCTTTCCATCTTTTAAGATCAAGTTTCATCATAAAAGCTTCTTCCTAGAAAAGACCATTATAAATTATCTTATATAAAGCTTACTGCAGTCATAAGCGCTAGTCTATCAGCACAACTGTTATCTCAGATTTAATTGTTCCATGGAAAAACTGGGTGCTGCTGTGTTGTGCAAGGTGCTTCAGTTACTAAATTGATTAATTTTTTTAGCCAAGCAGGCATACCAGTATTTCAGATGAGACAGCCCCTATAAAATATGCAGTAAGCCCCAATATTCAATCTAAAGGATCATGCAACACAGGAGGAACCGTGTTCTGCTATCACTCTGTTCTGTAAGCTTTCCATAGATACCGCCACAGGATTCTGATCACCCAGATCAGCTGAGATGTGTCTGGAAATATATTAAGCTTCACCTCATTCTCTGTGTTGCAAAAGAAGGGAAGTGAGTCTCATTCTTCCCTCCAACCTTGCTTGTTCTCCTCAAGTAACCAGGAGTGGAGCCTGTTTCTCTATTACAAAATACAAAGTGCTGAAAGCAAAGTAGAATTCATGTTTCTATCACTCCACTGGCTTTCTAGCATCACATCTTCATTCCCCATGAATGAGTGACTATCAGTCTTGACTTTAACTGACAAAAATTCTTGTCCACTGACCTCTCCCAGGTCTCCCACTGACAGCTATGAAGACTGAACTGGCCAGTTTTCTGTTGTTCAGCTACCAGGAAGAGCTCTGTTTGTAGCCCTGTGGACCACAGCCAGCTGTACAGCCACTCAGCAGCAGTGTATTGGCTTGAACTTCCAGATGCATACCAAGTTTATGTTAGCCATTTCCTTCCTATAAAGTCTATTTCTCCAGCCCAGGCTTCACATGCATACAGCATGACAGAAGTAAACTAACTCCAAACATAGATTTTAAAATCTATTCACTGCCTTCTAATTATAAGGGAGCTATTTTGGTAACAGTTATGTATATTTCTTCACATGACATTTAAGAGCAAAAATTTTGCTTACAGAATGGGAACCTCAAGGTTCTACAGATGTGCCCAGTCTACAGCAGCACCTCAGATTCAGCACCGGTCTCCTGTTAGACTCCAACTGAATCAGTTCTCCTGACTGCTAAGCATTTGTGTTCAGTGCTGACCCATACGTGGTGCCACAACAGCTGTTTGACAGTTTTGCTGTTGATCCATGATGAAGCAAAATACAAATGTACTGCTGTTACAGTGACTCTGCAGTACCACCAGATGATAATTTTGCTGATTTTTAATCATTAGTTTATTAAATATTACATGACATCCAAGAGAAAGTAGTAAGAAATTGGCCTCAAATTTTCCACAGCCTGTATCATCTACAGTAGATCCATGTCAGCTTAAGATATCAATTTGTTTCACATACCAGATTTAATAAATCCTAGTTGATTAAGTAAAAGAGAAATTCCAAGTTTGCCAACCTGAAGTGAAATTATCTTAAGTCTCTCCCATTTATCCCCACAACATGGATGCTCCAAATATAACCAGACATTCCAGCTAGCCCTTAAATAATTACTTTAAGATCCCAAGTTCATCATGGTTGATCAACAGATGGCAGAGAAGGAAAAGAGATTAAGTAGAAATTTTACAACCCAATCAAGATTTGTCAAGAGATTAGAATCAAGCCAGTATTAAATACCTCTCCAAGCCCAGAACAGGGTACAAATGCTACTTTTCAGGCTACAAATATAATAGAGCCAATAATGGGCCAGATGGTCAGTTTATGGGTTTTGTAGTACTACACCGATAAAATGGAAAAAAATATTACCCCTTCCTTTAATAAAGGCTTGTTATAACTGCACTATTAAGGCCAATTGATGCTGCACAGACAGGTTCCTCCAAAACACCTGCCTTAACTGTGCCAAAGACACCCATGGCTTCAGGTAAAAACACTTACCCCAGGTGCCTTTCAGACACTTGACAGACCTGAATGAATTAGCCTGTTGGAGAGGACAGGGAGGGGGGAGAAGGAGCAAGTAACATTCAACACAAGCAGAACCGTTAATCTTTCCCTCCGGCCAGGTCTCAGCCCTCGGACACTGCCCAGCCGGGCAGTCCCTTCCCCGGGTCCCATCCGACCCCCGAGCCCGGCGCTCCAGCGAGTACCGGTGCGAGATACATACCGATCCGCCTGGGCCCAGGACACACACACATTCTCCTGTCACAACAAGAAGCCGCCAACATCCACAAAGCAGAAGCCCGGGGGGGGCGGGGGAAAAGCAAGGCAGAGAGTTTGTTAGAGAAGACAGAGAGCTCCGACACGGAGGGGGGACGACAGAGAAAAGGAGACACGCACACACGCACGCAGCCCTTCTG